TTTTTTTTTTTTTTAAACCGACATCAAAAGAAGAATTTTCTTAATAATGATAAATGATAAATATGGGAAATTGCTATGAATAGTTAGCGGTTCTTTCAGGGTCCGACGATATAAACAAAAAACTTTTAAGTGGTGTAGAGTTGCGTAATGAAATAAAAACAAAAATATAAATAGGACGGAAAAACGTATGTTTCTGAGATATTTTCACTAAATGAAGCGTTAAGACGCCAAAAGGCACATGGTATTGATGAGCCACCATAGAATTTGTAACTAAGGAAGTAGAAGAGAACGACTATGTTAGTTACAATAAAAGACAAAGCGAAATTAAGCCTGGTTTTCACGTGCGACGCATACAAGAATCCATACAAACGCTTACCACTGCAGCACAAGAATAAAAGCATTTTGATCCTTTTCTTGTACTTAGCTTTACGTATTTGTATGGGATCTTCTTGTTCCTCTTTTGCTTATGCTGACGTTAATGGTTACTGTTGTGTCGCTAATGATATATAACCAGTAGATGTAACTCAGTAACGCAGTTAATTACCCTGAGATTGCTTGGTGAATGAACGGATCTGAAGATCTTCAGAGCCTTCTTTAGGCAGTCTTCTGCTTGAATGTACTGACCAAGGTAACGGTATGAAGACCCCAAAGCACTTAGGGTATACCCATACTCTTGCTCGTAGTTCCCAGTTTCATCGTATATCTCTAGAGCTCTCTTGATGTGATTACTACAGAGAAATCGATGCCATGTCAGCATTTTTCCATAAATTCTACATAATTAAATTAATTGCTAGTTCCAGTGAAAACATTTTGTTTTGTTTTCTCGATAACTTCGATATTTCCAAAGATAAGGTCGAAGGAAACACCGAGAATAGAGGGAAAACAGAACTTACTCTTTCCCAAGGTGGAAGTTAGAGTATAGAAATAGTGTAATGGAGGAGGGGAAGACAGTTCACGAGTCATGAATAAAACAAAAGTAGTTATATGACAGTTAGCTAAGACGTGCTCTAATTAACAATTTGAGGGCTACGGGTCAATAGTCCTAGTATCACCCAACTAGTCGAACAGAAAAGCAATAATAAAGTTAGCAAATGCAAGTTGAAGAAATATTTATTTGGGAATAAAACGAAAGAAAGCGTTACGCTCGATTACGCCAATTTCGCTACTCGAGGACTATCACTAATAGTCNAAAGTTAGCAAATGCAAGTTGAAGAAATATTTATTTGGGAATAAAACGAAAGAAAGCGTTACGCTCGATTACGCCAATTTCGCTACTCGAGGACTATCACTAATAGTCCTCCAGTAGCGTAGCCAATTAAAATGCAGAATTTGCATTAGTCCGCTAGTTGGGTGATACTAATACATGTTATCAATAAAAAATACTATTGAAATTAATTATTAAAAGTTGAGTTTCTATTTTAATAGGAACTCAAAGGAATTCAACAGATAAGTAATGGTAACAGGATTGAGTGGAGTCCAATTCGGTCGGTTGTCATAAGAGTGATAACAAAATCGGACGACCGCGCAGCGGGAGTCCGATTTGTTTATCACGAGTATGATTACAGACCGAATTGGACGACACGAA